GCTTTTTGGCTGAAACCTATTGCATCTTACTATAGTTCTTGGACTTTCACCTTCCTCGACCCAACTAGCGTTAACTTGTGTCCAACTTGTCTCAAATAAACCCATGACTCATCCCCTGTAAAAATATCGCATAGCCTCTATGGGCCGTTTCTGAAAAGGGCTAAATTTTCCTTACATGCCTCGACTCTATTCTTTCAATTTTTATCGGTTAATTTGTGGGGTATCCAACGTGATGTTAGTTTTCTTTTTTTAAGTGCGTTGTGAATGATTTCGTTAATTTTTAAAATGATTAATTGATGTCAAGGCTTCAATTATATCATGTGTTTCATGCAGATTTTCTTCAATAATGGCTTACACACGTTCAATATTCTCAGCTGTATACATGGGTACCCTGAGCAAGGATCATCTTCAAGACTCTCTCTACCGTCTTTAAATGAAGTAGCCCACTCAGCAACTGTACTATATTTTGGAGCTTGGTCACCATGAACTAAAACCAATTCATCGGTTATGGCTTGTGCTGGAACTCCAAGTAGAGCACGAGTTTAAATATATGCTCAATATTCATGTTTTTCCATTTTTATATTTTTTCTTTCAAATGTATATAATAAAATTTAAATAACTCTGTAAATAAGCATTCAAAATATTTCAACAAGTACTTAAAATGTTCATAATTAAATTCATTCAAAATATTTCAACAAGTACTTAAAATGTTCAGTTTAAGATGATATATAAATATTTAATTATTTCCTGTCTTATTGTAACTTTATAGATAAAGTTCTAAGAATTTCTCTAATCACCTAAGTATCATTAGGAAGCCCTATAATATATTTTAAAGGTGAAAAAATTACAAAAATTGGACAATTCTATAAAAAGTTATGACATTTTTTAGTAAAAAATTTTCGATATATGGATTTTTTGATAAAACTGGTCAAAATTTTTTTTTATTTTACATAAATTGTTAAAACTTTGCCAATTCTTATTCAAAAATCTATTACTTGGTAACAAATGATAAGTATAAAATGGGCATTAATTTCAAATATTTTATGATAATATTTATGTATAACATGTTGGTATTATTTTATTCCACATCACTAGTGAGCATTACAGGTCTATCTTAAAGTTAGGTGTAAGGTTGTAGGTAAGGTTATATATATATATATATATATATATATATATATATATATATATATATATATATATATATATATATATATATATATATATATATGTATATATATATATATGTATATATATATATATATATATATATATATATATATATATATATATATATATATATATATATATATATATATATATATATATATATATATATATATATATATATATATATATATATAGTGGGCTGCTGGGGGGCTTCACTACATATAATGTCTGATAGGGAGAATATGCAAGGAGTACTCAATAGGTAGAATATGCAAGGAGTGCTATTACATTAACTAAGGGTTTAACTGGGGTTGCAATCATTTTTCTTCTTTTTCCAAAAAGTACAGTATAAAAGTAAACAAAAAAGTTAGCATATATAATAATAATAATAATAATAACAATAATAATAATAATAATAATAACAATAATTAGAGATAAAAGTGCAATCATTTATAACAATCACGATAGTGATGAAGTAATTAAGAAGCACTGAGAAAGTTTACCATCAGTTCAAGAAAGCATCTACAAAAAGTTCATGTTTTTGTCTTTTTTCAAATGTTTCTAAAGTGGTTGAGTTACGTGTGTTTATAGACAAGCCATTCCGAATTTGAGGTGCAGTCATGGAGAAAAATTTTGATCCTTGGGACTTTTTTAATAGACAATGTGTAAGTTGGCAATTATTTGATGATCTTGTGCTTTGTTTTGAAGTTCGGGTTTCTAGAAGTTCGAATAGATAAGCAGGAGATTTGGTTGATAAAGTTTTATATGTAATAACTGATACCTTATAAACTTTTCTTCGATGGATCGGTAACCAATGAAAAGATTTTAGCAATTTTTCTGATTTTAAATGTAAAGGAGAATGAGAGATGATGTGAGATGAGCTATATTAAGTATGTTGGTCAATAGTTAAGTTAAGAATTAACAATGTCACAAACAATTGTGTTGGCTGCTTCTTTAGTGAGACATTGGCGTATGTGGTGAAGTGCAGGAATATGGTAGTTGCAGGATTTAACAGTGTTGGTCTAAAAAGAGTGTTAAATCTAGAATCCTAGATTGACACCTAGGATTCTTAACACATTTACTATAATTAGTGTTGCTCCAGAGAATATAATTTTGGAATCATTTTTAAATTTTCCAGTTTGTTTTCTAGATCCAAATAAAAATTTTCATTTGGGTTAAGAAGAAGTTCATTTTTGAGAAATCATTTTTTGACTGTATTAGCACATTCATTGAATTTGGTTATGTTATCTTTTCCTGGGTTAATAAAAATATATTTTTGAGTATCATCGGCATATTGATGATGATTTGTGTCATGTTTAACTATAATGCAATATATGAGTGAAACAAACATAGAAAATAAAAGTGACTCTAATACACTACCTTGATACACTGATTTTTTGTTAATCATTTTAATTTGAGCAACCTTGAATTAGGCTGGAAATTTTCCAGATTTGAATGAAAGGTGGAGGAGGTGAGCTATAATTGGAATAAATAATTCTGAACATGGTTTATAAATGTTTGTTGAAATAATATCGAGTGAGAATGTCTTAGGTTTGGGAGTTTTGATTACATTTGAAACATCAGTGGAAGTGACTGTACCAAACATTGTAAAAATGGTATTGTTTTACTAGTTTTAGGATTATTCAAGTAAAGTAATTCTTTAGTCATTCCAAGGTAGAGGTGGTAGAAAATAGGAAAAGATGTAACTATATGACAGTTGGGGCAAAAACATATATGTTTTTTTATTGTCTTAAAAAGAATAAGCATAATTATAAGAACCAACCCAAATTTGATAAAGTATTTCATAAAAGCATGAATAAGAGGTTTATAAAGCTATAGAATGAAGAGTAAGAAAATAGGAGCACCATGCTGTCTTAGAAAAAAGTTCACATTCAAGATTGGATGATTTTTCTAAGCAATTAAAATCTTACAAATTTTCAAACTAAAGTTTATTGATTGTCTTATCTAGCATATACATGAAGACAGGACTTCTAAAGTATTGTCTTTAAGTTAAAGTTATAGGTTTATAAAAGTTTAAGTTTAAGGGTAAGATTATTGAGAAAATTATTATTATAGGTGAGAAATAACACAGGAGTGAAGATGATTCTGTGTTCATCATCCAAGGCAGGAAACAATTTAACACAGATTTAAATCTATGCCAGCCTATTGGTGATATGCCAGCCTATTAGGTTTTCAACAATGTTAACATTAGGTTGTACTTCATGTTTGGCCAGGAAGGTGTGCGATTTCACATCATAATACTATTTGACTTTGAAAACTTGACCACAGCTTTTAATTTGTTTTGAAAATTTGTATACATCTTAAAAAACAAGCTGAAAAAATTATCTTAACTATAAAGAAACTTAAAAAATAAACTTATCGTAAAAGAAGGAAATAAATCTTCGTAAATAAAAATAACTTAACTAAAACTAAAATAAAAAAATAAAATTAAACCTTAACTTAAATAATTTACTATAACATTAAGATTATTTAAATTACGTTTGGAATAAATAACTTTGAATCGTTTATCTTTACTAATATTTTTATCATATAATATTATTTGAAACTCTTTTTAAATAAAAAAACAACTTACATCTATTGACAGTTTAATGAATGTTCATCAGTTTAAAAAAAAAAAGATTAACAATTCTTCGCAGTATTTTTTTATAATTTTTACTTTTTTTGTTTTAATTAAAAATCTTATATAATGAAATAACTTGTACAACTTCTAATGATACTTTAATTAAAATCATTAGTTACTTTATTTAAAGGTATTTTGCTAATATAAAAACATTATATATACATATATGTATATATATATATATATATATATATATATATATATATATATATATATATATATATATATATATATATATATATATATATATATATATGTATATATATATATATATATATATATGTTTATACATATATGTATGTATATATATATATATGAATATGTATATACATACATATATATATATGTATATATATACATACATATATATGTATATACATATATATATATATATATATATATATATATATATATATATATATATATATATATATATATATATGTAAATATATATATATATATATATATTTATGTATATATATGTATATATATATGCATATATGTATATATATACATATATATATATATATATATATAATATATATATATATATATATATATATGTTTATAGATACATGTATATATATATATATGCATATATGCATATATACATATATGCATATATGCATATATACATATATGCATATATGCATATATGTATATATATACATAAATATATATATATATATATATATATATATATATATATATATATATATATATATATATATATATATATATATATGTATATAGATACATATATATATATACATATATATATATATATATGTATATATATATATATATATATATATATATATATATATATATATATATATATATATATATTATTATTATTATTATTATATGTATACTTACATATATATATGTATATATACATATTTATATATATATATATATATATATATATATATATATATATATATATATATAAATATATGTATACACTTTCAGATCGGGATTTAGGTCAACATTGCCGAATGCTGACCCTAATTCCAAGGGTTATATGTATATATATATGTATATATACATATTTATGTATATATTTATATATATATATACATGTTTATATATATATTTATATATATATATATATATATATATATATATATATATATATATATATATATATATATATATATATATATATATATATATATATATAATTTAGAATAAATCTAGCAAACTGTTACAGTAGAGAAAATGTCATCGTCTTCAGAACCAACAAAGTTTAAAATGGTTGTTGTTGGAGGTATGTTTTTACTTTATCAAAAACTGCTTTTTTTTACTTCAAAAAAACATAAAATAAAAATGCAGAAAAGTAAATTACTTTTAAAATATTATAAAGTAATAATGAGTAAATGATATTGAATTAAAATTGTAATAAATACATATTTTTTATTATACATTTTTTATAAAAATTATGAATTTCCTAATTTTTTTTGCCTGTTGTTTGTTTTTATTATTATTTTTTATTTATTGTTAATTTTAACCTTAAGAATTTTTTTTAACAATGATCAACTTTTTTTAATCTTATTTGATATCCTTTTAAATTCTCTTACTCTAGTGAATTGCTAATTTTTAATAACATTAAATTTGTTTTTCAGTTATATCTTTTCGTGAAATTGTTATATATATATATATATATATATATATATATATATATATATATATATATATATATATATATATATATATATATATGTATATATATATATAATTTTTACAAAAAGATGGCTTTGCTTTTAACACAAAACATTCACTAATTTTTTAAAAATTTTGTAAACAGCTATGAGTTGTAAAAATTTGAATAAGTTGTATTTTAGTTTAAACCATTACTAAAGTTTAAGCATAAAATTCATTCAATTCAATATTTGTTTAAAAAGAACCTTTTAGTTATTAAAATTTTAGAATTTTTTTTTTATTAGGAATATGCTTTGAAAATGAGTGTTTTGCATTGAGGCTCATAATTCAGCAGGTATATATCCGATCAGACTGAAATAAATTTTGCCTGAAAGCTAAAACACTAGGCTGCAAACATTAGTCAAATATCAACTGCTAGAGTGTCAAAACATATTTATCCAAAATTTTAAACATAACTGAGTTTGTACCTACAAATTTTTTTTCTGAGAGGAATTGGTTTCAACAATTGCAGGGATGGTTTCAATAATTCAAGGGTGGTGATTTTGATACCTAGTTGGAAGCATTACTTGATGAAGATCCATGCCAAGAAGAGCTTGCGGAAACATTGGGAGTCTATCAATCAACAGTTCTAGGCACTTGAAACAACTGGGTGTGATTTAAAAGCCAGGAAATTGGATGCTATATGAGTTGAAATCGAGGGACATCGAAAGAAGATTTTTTACCTGCAAATAACTGCTTGTGCAACAAAAAGAAAAGGTTTTTTGCATCAAATTGTTACTGGTGATGAAACTTGGTGAAACATTGACAGCAAAACCAAATACTCATGGTTCCAAGCTTATGCTCTGTATCTGGTGGGACCAATTCTAAATGGAAAACCTTAAATAGAAAGTCCTACCCCACGCGCCTTATTCACCAAGTAATGCCCTCTCCCATTACCATATGTTCCAGTCGATGACAGGGTCTAGTTGAGCAATGATTTTCTTCTCATGATGATACCAAAAAATGGGTTGATGATTGGATTGCTTAAAAAGAGCAAGACTTTTTTAAATGTGGAATCAGCATCCTACCTAAATAATAGGAGAACGTCACAGCTGCCAATAGGCAGTATATTGAATGATCTGAGTCTGATAGTTTTCTCGAAATAAACTGTTGATTTTTATGATTAAAGTTAAGCACACACTTGATTCAAAATTCAACTAAAATATTTTTATTTTAATGATGCAGATGACAGTGTTGTCAAAAATTAATTTAAAAAAAAGTAGCTGTGTTGTTAATAAAATTATAAACATTTCAACTAATTTAAACTTTAGATTATGTTAAGGTCTATTGCAGAATAATTGTATAATTTTCTTTTTATATTTTTAAAGTTTTAATATTCATATTTAACTAATATAATTATTTTTAATACTGTGTTAATTGTTTTGAAGGAAGTATTCACAGAAAGTGTAGCATCACATTTTAACAAGTTATTGAGTGGCAAATAGTGAAAACCTGACAATTTGACCATGTTTTTATATAGTAGCAGGGATTATCTTTTTATGGAGATTTTCAGAATTCCGGAGATTTTTTTTTAACTTTAAGTTTTTCTGGATATGCAAAACATTTTTAATACATTAGAATCGACTTAGCTAAAAGCAAACTTAAAAAGAAAATAAGGGAAAATAAATTCCGGATATTTTATTCAAACAATTTTCTGGATTTTAAGTATGACTAGGATGATCTATGTAATATTGTTGTAATTTTGTTGTAAATACATTTTAAGAATTTGCGGCAATCTAAAGCTATAAGAAACTAGAGAGAAAAAAACAGCAATACTCGAAGAAAGGAAGTTAAGACTACAAAATAGATTATCTAAATATAATAAGCTAAAAAATATTGAACATTAAAAAAAAATTGTTTTTAAAAAAATAGTTTACCTAAATATTTTACTGTTTTCATTTTGTTATTTTTAGGGCGTTTATTGTTTTCCATTACCAAAATTGATATAAGTCAAGAAAAAAAGCAGAAAAGAATATAATAAAAATAAAAATATTTTTTGATATACAATTTTTTCCCGACTTTTTTTAGTCAGTATATTAAGGAAATATTTTATTATTTGCGCGAGAAACATCAACAGTTTTAAGTTTGTTTTTTAAATGTTTTTGCTAAACTTTACTGTTTTGATCAATGCATAGGAAAGCAAGGAAACTAATTGCTATCTATTTGTAAAAAAAAAAAAAAAAAAAAAATCTTTTTAATAAGTTTTTCATGTAAAAAATTAAAAAGTCATTAATACTTATATTTAAATATAAAATATTTGGTTATTTTCACTACCCCCATTGAAATAGTCAGACTATTTATTTTATATTTATATTTATCTATGTAAGAATATATTGATATATTATGAAAAAAAAATTTATTACCTTTTTTTATCTGTTTATTATAAAAAATTTTGTGTTCTGTTATATTTTCTAACTTGACACTGCCTTAATGTGCAAAAATTGTAAGTATTTTTTATACTAGGTACCTAAGTTTTTATATTTTCAAGTAATAGTTTTTTATTCTAATTTCTAGCTCTACTTTTTTCTCATTTCTGTCAGTGGCAGTTCTGGGAAATAAAACTATTTTTATTTACACTTTTCTTTTAATTAAGTTAACCTAAATAATTTTGTATTTTTAGAATAGAAAATGTCAGTCAAATATAAAAAATTAAATTTCAAGATCATTGGTTAAATAACAATAATTATAAACAATGAGTACAAAAATGTTCCAATGATTTGTATTCGATAAAATGTAAGGTATGTTTGAAAGTTATATCGGTTACAGGTCTGGGTACAAAGGCATTGGAAAAAATGCTAATGGTAACAAACATAAACAATATATGCCTGTCTGTGATAAATATGCATTTAAAACTTTTGTAGAACCACGAGCTAGCCCAAAAGTGACACTGTGTCCGCAGCAAACATCTATTATATTTGTTGCAGAATTGCAGTTAGCAAAGAAGATATAATGTCGGCAGTTGATATAGTGCTTTTAAAACATTCTTTTTGATCAAGTACAAACAAATCTAATTTATTTACTGCAATGTTTAGTGATAGTCAAACAATTTTTTTGTGGGAAAACAAAGTGTACTTATCTTGTGTGCTTTGGAGTTAAATTCTTTCTTGTTAGTTTTTCAAACCAACAATCCTATGAAACCTTTTCTTATGGATACACTAGAGAATTTACTGAGGCTGTTTTTATCAAAGTTTATCAGAAAAGAAGTCTGATGTTTTGTCTGAAGCATCCATAACTTTTAAATTATTAAAATCAGTGATGTCAAAAATCAAGTGTTGGTCACAAATATTGATCTCGGATTTGGAATAACAAATGAGTTGCAGCAACTGAAATCTAAAATAAAGTTACTGATGCACAAATATATAATTTTAAAACAGAAGTTCAACAGTTTTTAGTTACAATGTGCAAACATTTAGTTAAAAAAAGTGCACTAAATTCATATTTTGACAGATACTTATTATGTTTATCACCTTTGTACATGGTGGAATCTCATGAGATGTGTGAACTTTATTTTAACAAGTTGTTGCTGAAATTAGTTGCTTATAAAAAGGTATCACCTTCAGCTGCTAATCAAGCCAAATTGCAGTATTCGCAATTTTTAACTGCTGTTGTGAAAATGAACAAGGAGAAATTTCATGGGTTCAAAATAGAAAGTTATAGATTGGATTCTTTTTTGATTCAATATACTGATGCTTCAAAATTCAAGGACTCCATATGAGAATTTACCAATTGTTACTAATATTGGCCAAGCACAAGTAAAGCGTAGATTTAGTATAAATGACCAACTTCTGGATGATAATATGCTAACTGATACTCTTGTTGCACAGAGAATTGTTCATGACCACATGTGCAGTGAAAACATAAAATCATTATAATTGGTAATGACAACTAAACTTATGGGACATGTTAAGGATGCACGAAAATTATACTTTAGCAGTCAGAAAGAGAAGTCCCTATAGGCCTTAAAAACTGACTGTGATACTAGTAAGTTTTATAAAAGGTTTCTTTGCTTTTTTAAAAATAAGTCTGCTTACCTGTGTAGGCCTTTACATCCTATCTTTGGTCCCACATTCAATTGTAGAATTCAAATCAACAACAAACAACTATTCAACAAGAAGCAGAACTGGACTTCATTTTTATATTCATAAAACTCAAAAAAACATTCTGTCTTATGCGGTGGTAAATATTTGATTTTGTAATCAACTAAGCTGTGTCAAGCATCCAACATTGTTTACATTCTATGCATCTTAAATTTTTTATGTTTCTAAACACTCTTCTATAGATTTAGTTGCTAACCCTTTCACTGATAACGTTTTGTTTAAAGAAAACAAATTTAGTTTAAATAAAAAGTGAACAAAGATAATATTTCGTGGATGTAAGCTTTTAATTATTTTTATAGATTTTTCTATGAGTATTTTATTTTTTCTTATTATTTATTTATAACTAATAATTTGTTATTATATAAGATGGAAAGAAGTTGTCAAAAAAATTAACAACATGTAAAATAACAACAGTTCTAAATAAACAACAAATATAAAAGGTAATAGATTACTACATCTGTCCAATAACATCTGTGGAATAGTCTAAGATCATCTGTACACTTTAGCCCAAGAACATCTGTATTTTTTTTTTTTCACTCTAACAACATCTGTCCAATATCTGGAAATTCAATGACCCCTGACAACATCTTTAAGAAGATGTTTTTAGGTACAGAGCTACATCTGGGAATTTTTTTCCAAGTCCAACAACATCTGGAAGAACTTCAGATGTATTTAAATCTTAAAAATTATATTTGTAACTTCATCTGGTTAAAATGCATTTTTACTTGATATTTTTATTATTCATTTATTATTAATATAATTGAAAAGATGTAAATACATCTGTAAAATCTCCAGATGTAGATGTACAGATGTTGTTATACTTCAATAATTGAAAAATCTCCAGATGTAGATGTACAGATGTACCACTACAGATGTTGTTATACAATAATTGAAAAATCTCCAGATGTTGTTATTCAATAATTGAATTCTCCAATCTCCAGATGAAGATATACAGATATTGTTATACTTCAATAATTAAAAAGATGTAACTACATCTGTAATATTCATATATTTTTTGCACAGACGTAATTAGACATCAATGAAATTTCATATATTGTTGGACAGATGTTATTATACCTTATTGTATTTGCAGATGTTGTTGGACAGATGTTATTAGACATGGCAAAACTGATGTTTTTACCCTTATCCGTATAAAATTGCATTTTTATATTAAATTTTTCTAATGAAATCAATTTTGTTTAGCTGAAGTTTATTAGTTTCGGTAAAATGTTTTCCAAAATGTTTGTTTTGGTATTGAATTAGTTTACCCAAAATTTTGTTTTTTTCCCTATTTCCTGTTTTGGTTGATCACTAACTACCACTATGTAAATTAAAAGTAAACTGTAGTGTGTTTATTCATATGCTTTAGTTTCATCTTTTTTTTCAATTAATCTTTATCTTTCATTATATCTAATGCTTAATATTTATATCTAATGCTTAATATTTATATCTAATGCTTAATATTTATATCTAATGCTTAATATTTAGCTGGCGGTGTTGGAAAAAGTGCTCTGACGATACAACTTATCCAGAACCAGTAGGTTTCTTAATGCAAAAATTATTTTCAATTTGATTTAAATTTTGTTGATTTATCAGTTTAAAAGTTTTAATTTGAAATCTTTCACAATTTTTTTATTTTTATTTTTTAGTTTTGTTGAAGATTATGACCCTACTATTGGTAAGAACTCAAGAGTCAACCTTTAAGTTTTATAAAAACTGTCTTAAAAGATTTTTAAAAGTTTTTTTAGTTTAGAGACAAATAATCTCATACTAGTGGAGTAAACCTTCACATTTTTTTAAACATTAAATAGTCAATAAATCACACAAATACTATGGAGGTAGTTTTTAAAATACTGTATTTAATATAAGTCCTTGGCATAAAAGTTTAAAATGCACTAGTTGTATTCATTTTGATTATTTAAATATATAGAAAGGCGAAAGTTTAATATATAACAGTCTAATAAAAAACAGTGTTTAAACTGTTGTTAAAACTGTTTAAACACTGTTTTAACAGTGTTTAAACTGTTGTTTAAACAGTGTTTAACAACAGTTTAAAACAGTAATTAAATGATACAATAATTCTGTAAAAGAGTTAGAGATTTCATAAATCTTTGTTTCAAAAATGTACTAGTTGTGTTACTTTAGTTTTATCAAAATATCTGGTTTAGGTGCTTAAATATGTTGTTAATGAAAAGCTTTTGATGGCCTAAAGAATTAGCAGAAAATTATTATTTTTTGTATCTTTTTGAACTTTTAACAAGTTTATAACTATTGCTTCTTATGCAGGTAACACATGTGGAATTTAAAAAAAAAAATAGAATGTAAAAACACCTGTACAATTATTAGTTTACAATTATTATACTTTGCAAGAACATAAAAAAAATTTGGAATGACTGTTTGAAAAAAACTTAAAACAATTTATTTTGAAAAATTTGGTTGTTTCAAGTTTCATTTTTACCTTTGCTTTTACTTGACAAAGTTTTATATGATTTCATTTTAGAGGATTCTTATATCAAGCAGGTTGTTGTAGATGGTGCAATATGCATTCTTGTAAGATTTTATTTGATAAACACTTTTTATATAACTTTATTGTTCTTTAAATGTTTGCGTGTGCAGGAGCAATTCTATGGGGTGATGGGGAGGTGTGACACCCCCTTTCCCCCCCCCCCCCCCTCCCCCACCTTCCCAAAGAAATTAATTTTCAAGTTATAGTCAGTTTTTTGAGGAATATAATCTGTTAGTCAAGCATTTGACACATTTTTTGTTGTGTGATTTTTAGTTTTGAGGACCTTTTTTTTTTTTAGAAAGCAGTCCGTACTTTTATGAACCCTTGTTATATTCCTAGAATTGCTCCTTTGTCTGTGAATTGATTTTGCATTTGAGTTGGTTAATTTGCAGCATTTGTGGTATGCATCAATAGCAATGTGCAAAGTTCGAAGTGCCATTAAAATGCTTGAAAGTGTTAATTGATGTTTGGATATGTCTGATTAGATTTTAGACATTTTAAACAAAGTGCCTAACACTTTCATTTTTTATTTTAATCATTTTATTCTAATTTTGAATATCTTTGATATACTTTTATATTCAGGATATTCTTGATACTGCAGGTCAAGAAGAGTACAGGTAACAACAATATTAATGATTATTTGAACAAAAAGAATTATCATTTCTAGTATTAATTTTTATATTTCAATTTTTATAATATAATAAAAACTTTTCCAACTAAAAAATATTTTCAGCACTTATTAAAATTTAAAAAGTCATTATTTTTAGTTCATTAAAAATGATAATTAAACAACTAATTATTTTCAATTATTAGGTTAAAAAAAATAATAAACAACATGTTTCTTTAAAACAATGATTCATTTAAAAAAATTAAAAGCTAATTACTTGTCATTGTTTTTTAAGTGTTAATATTATTTAATAAAATTTCTTTATTATCTTTATATTTGAACTTACAAACTAATTAAGCTCTTTATATTTGAACTTACAAATTAAAAAAATCAGAAGTGTTTTGAGCCAACCAAGGCAATCTTTTTAAAATTGTAAAATTTAATTGAACGTCAAGTTAGGAATTACTCTAAAAACAATCATCTCTTAACTTATAATTCAGCAAATGTTGTATTTATATATGTGCCAGAAAAATGCAAACAAAGAAGAGATTTCTAGAGATGTTTCGAAAAAAAGTGTTTTGAACCAGTAAAATTAGTCAAAAGATAAGATTTAATCGAATGATTATTTTTACTGATAAATTTTTTAAAGCAATCCTAAGAATATTTAAAGAATAAAAAAAGTTTAGTAACTAAGTTACATAATTAAATGTTTAGTAACTAAGTTACATGATTAAATGTTTAGTAACTAAGTTACATGATTAAATGTTTAGTAACTAAGTTACATGATTAAATGTTTAGTTTATTCATGTAGTTATATTCATATTGTTTTGTCATGTAACTAAGTTACATGATGTTTTGAAATATGTTTAAGGTTGTTTCTTTATTGCTTTTTATATATCTTTTATTTTTTTTATCTTATAAGCAGCATGCACATTATGTGCACAGCATTGGTTTTTTAGTCAAATACTGCACCCTATTAAAATATTATTTTGTATTGCAATCCACTCTAAATATTTTCAATATATGTAATAATTACGCAAAATAACAAAAAGTAATATGCTTGTTATAAGAAGAATTTACATGCATGAATATTTAAAACTATTTAAAGAGTAAACTGATTCCAATCTTTTTACTATGTAAACTGCTGTAAGACTATTTTAAAAAACTGCACTTACTTCGATGTCAATTTAGAATATTAGAATGATAATAAATTTAGAATATTAGAATGATAATAAATTTAGAATATTAGAATGATAATAAATTTAGAATATTAGAATGATAATAAATGTTAGCTCTAAATTATGATCTGCTTCACGTCTTTGTAAATTAATATAAGTTTATTTATCTGTGAAAAAATCTAAAAAATTAAAATAGTTTTGCTGAAAACTGGTTTATATCGGTTTATTCTTTAGTTTTACATTAAGTTTTGTAGCACTTGTTTATTTTTAGTGCAATGCGAGAACACTACATGCGTACTGGAGAAGGTTTTTTGTGCATGTTTGCTGTGACAAGTTTAAAATCATTTCAAGAAATTGACAATTTTAGAACTCAAGTAAAATATTTTAGTTAATCATTTTTTATATATAGCAAAGGTGGGAAATCAGAGTGAAAAAGTTTCAGTCCAGTACTTTTAAAATATTTATATGTATTTTGAAATTTCATTAGCGTTAGTAGAGCAAACCTAGATTAGCAGACACATGTAAAACTTTATAGTAGATATGATCATGTGTGTCAAATGCATTATGGAATATCTATTGATTTTAGGCTCTAAGAGTAAAAGATGCTGACAAAGTACCTATGGTTTGTAAGTTTATTTAACAAATATTTTTTTATTTTTTGCACTTTCTATTTTTTGATATAATAATTATTTATTATTTTCTATTGCTTTTTTGTTTTATTATTTTCTTATTTATTTTATATTTAGTTATAAAAAAGTATGAGAAATTATCTGTCTGAGTTTTATAAAATGTGTCATTAAATATTTGTTTGAATTCTATAAAAAGTGTCATAAAATATTTGTTTAAATTCTATAAAATATGTCATTAAATATTTGTTTGAATTCTCATAAATTCTCATAAATTATTTGTCTGTCATGTAGTGGTAGGCAACAAAGTTGATCTACCAAAAAGAGATGTTTCTACTAAAGATGGTAACGATAAAGCACTTAGTTTTGGCATTCCATACGTTGAAACATCTGCAAAAACTAAACAAGGAGTGGTATGTTGATTATCATTTTAATATTTTAATTTTTATAACCAACTTTGCTAATTTTTTTTTCTTTCTATTTTTTAGGAAGAAGCATTTTTTACCTTAGTTCGAGAGATTCTAGCAGATGTAATTATTTTCGTTTTTTTTAATTTCACAAAAATTTACTTCTTATATCAATGTAAAAGCAGATTTAGCTGCCCATAAAATGTCATTGATGACATAATACTAGAATAGCCTGATTATACTGGAATTGCAAGAGCATTGCATAAATCAATTGAGAATTTGAGTCTTGGCAGGCAGTATTGGGGTGGTAACTATGTTATAAGTATGACTTTTCTTACTATAACAATTTTTCGTGTTTGTGAACAACTGTCAATTGCACAAAAGTATTGAAAAAGTCTCAACTTAAATGCACACTCACTACCTCTTAACATTTTTCACCCCTTATATATTCACCATATAACAAAAGTCAGTCAAAGAGTTTACACTATCCCCTAAAAAATTCAATCAATAATTTCTAGCGCACATTAAAAATATATATATATATATATAAAAGAAGTAAAATAAAATAACAAAAACAGTTAACACAACAACAATAATACAAGAAATATATATCATAAGTTTAAATAAATAACATATAAGTATAATTCTTGATTTTTGACATATTAGAAGGTTTGTAGTTGTACAATAAAGTTTTTTTCTTTTTTAAATTATTAAGTTTTAATTTAAAACATTCATTTAGTTTTGCTTAAAAAAATTTAAGTTTCTTTGATTAACTGCCAGATTTGATTTCTATCAAAATCAAATTTTATTTTATACTCATGAAAATAAATATTTGATTCATCTTCTTTACAAAAATTTATGAAAATCAAAAAAATAAAATGTTTTTAGTTAAAAATCTTTTTCAACAAAATACAGTTGAGCTCTTATCATTTGAACTTATTCGAAAGATTAATCGAACAAGTTCTTCGGTCCCTCCAAGGTTTAAGATTGAACTCCAAAAGTTTAAAAACTCTTGTAATCCAGACATTCTTTGAGACACCTTGAGGATTCAAATTGCATGAGTTCAACTGTAGTTTCAATTTCTCATTCAAAAAACGTTTTTATATAAAATCTCTTATAGTTTGGAAAAAAATAATGCAAAAATACATTAATAAATGGCTAAAAAAAAAAATCTCAGGCTAGTTAATAAGTTACTGTTAAATTTTACACAAATAAAATGATGCATTTGAGTTGTAATAATTGTCTTTCTCATTTCATAAGGTCATTAAAACATAGTTTTGCCTTATATTATAAAAACTAAATAGTTCTGCATTAAAGAAAAAAAAATTGTTTAGTTAAATAGTACAGTTATAAAAATAGTACAGTTATAAAGTGAACTTCAGATATTTCAGAAGTATTTAATACTAATACCTTTGAGTTAAATCAATTAAAAAAATTAAAAAATGAGTTTCAAATGTTGCGTTATGCATTATTCGCCTTCCGGAATGTTTAATTAATGTTAATTCACAACTGTTCTCGTTACTTATAGCGAGCTCATTCTAGTCAAGGATTCTTATTGGTCGTAAAATATTTTAGGGTTAAAAAAAAAAAAATTAAAGTTATTTAAAAAAAAACAAAATCATAAATGTAGGTATGTGTGTATGTATATATTTGTGTATATATGTGGGTAGGTATGTGTGCATATATGTATTTATATAGTACTTAATTAATTAACTTAATTTTTTTATTTTTAAGCGCCGTAATCAAGAAGGACAAAAAAAAAGTGACTCAAAAAGAGCGAAATTCAAGTGCACGCTATTGTAAATGTTTTCGGATTTAATGTAACCATCCACTTAAATATTTGTGGAAAATCATTTTTATAGGATGAGCCAAATTCTCATTTTCTCGCAACAAAAATGTTTTCAGCCAAGACTTTGTAAAATATTTAATGAGTTTTTGTAAATGTTTTCCTATTGTGTTTTCGATATTTTTTTTAAGATAAAAATAGTCTCAAGTGTTTTACTTGAAATACTAATTTGCTATTGAATGTTTGTTCAAGTTACTGTCTGTGTTACGAAGATATTTACAAGTGTCTTGTAATAAAGTAACAGATAAACAGTTTCTACTGTGTAACAAAATCAATTTCTTTTTTTTTTTTTTTGCTTTTTCAAAAAAGAATTATATTTTTTTATTTTTGCATTTTGTCAAGATTTAATTTAAAAATTGCGTATTGCGTTAGTTTTTTAGTCAACACTTAAATTGAAACTGTTGCGTTAATTTTTTCTCTTATGTACTAAAACAGTTGAGACTATCGCTTTTTTATACTTAATATCAAATTGTTAATAATTAATCGACGTTCTGATCTTTGCTATTTTTTAAAAAAAAGAATTAACGAAAATTAATTTACAATTAATCTTTATGATTTTATAGTTGATATATAAATATATGTATTTACATGTTCTTAAACACTTATAATAACAGTAATAATTTCAAATTAAATTGTTATTTTTGAACTTTCAATATACTGAAATTGTTTTTGAAAAATTGTTTTAGCTTCTATTTAATTTTATATCTTTCCTCTAATACTACTAAAAATAATTTCTCCTGCTTGATCATAGCCCTGGGGACTAAAGTGTACATCATCGTCCCACATGGTTTTTCTAAATAAATCGTCCTCATGTGGAAATTTATCTGCTAAATCAATGAGAAAAATTCGATCCGGATGCATATGTATATCAACATACATCCTTAATTTGTCGTTTAATTCGCTCAGCATTTTTTTTGAATTTTCAGTTACTGCTGTTCCATTAATGCTAAAAACCGGCGGTATCGTAACGACTGCAGTCTTGCAGCCACTTCCTAAAACAATTTCGTGTAGTGACTTTATAGATGTAAATAAGTTTGAAATATTTCCACAATGACCAAGTATATCGTTTGTTCCTGCTAATATAATAACTAAATCTAACGGAGCAAGTGTTTTGATTACTTGTGGTAATCGAGTTTGCATACTTGTTGAAGCACATTCACTGTTTACACCGCTGTTTATTACTTCGTATAAAGTGTTCTTGTTATATTTTTCAAAAAGCTGTTTTAAACGCTCAGAATATGGATGATAAGCAGTTCCTTGTTTGTAATATCCTCGCGTTAGTGAATCACCGAAGCATAAAACGCGTTTGACATGTGTTTTTTTCGACTCTGATACGTTTTGATTTAATTCGTTGGTTAGCTTCTTGGGATTTACTTTTTTTCTGGTAGAATTTTTCTCTTTTAGTGTTTTATTTTTCAAAGTTTTGTTTGCAAAATTTGTGTGGTTAGAAAGGATAGGCGGATCAATTGCAGGATGATCATCTATACCTAATACTCCTAAATTTGCATCTTTTAAAGATTCTTCGACGTTTTCCTCCTCAGCTCTTTGCTGCACTAATGTGGGATCAATTGGAATTGATTTGTTTAAATTATTTTTGTCGTCTAGTTTGGTTTCTGTTGTCGGTTGATCATAAATGTCGTTCAAAATTTTATATTTAATTAATTCTAACTCTTTCTGCCTATCTGCATACGACGTACCAGTACCAACGTTATCTTTGGCAGGAGCCTTTTTTGAACTTGGTGCGCTCTCTGTTTTAACTTTTGTTTCGTTTTTTGATTTATATGTTGTTATTAGATGTCTACGCGCTAGTACTGTACAGCTAATGCCAGCTTCAGCTACGTCATTATCCTCAAGAGGATTTGTCATCATGTCTAACTGCCTTAAATTTATCGTTTTTGGTTTACAAAGCTTCATTCTTAATTTGCTATGATTTTTTTGAATTGCTTTTTGCTTGGTGTTTTCTTTTTTTTTCAATAACACATTGGGTTCTCCATTTATTTTTTTAACACCATTGATTGTGTTTGTTTTATTTTTTATAACGCTTGAGAGCATTGCATGATTAACCAAATGACTTTTGCTCTGTAAAACAAAACCTTTTTTTATTTCACTGCGTGAAGTTGTATTGTTTCCAAATGGTTGTAAAAGCTTTGACTGATTAGTCGAAAAAAGGTTAGGCTTATTATTATTAAACCGACTGGTAAAGTCACCAGAATAATTTGCTACGTTTTTAGAAGCATTTTGAAGTTTAAGAATATCTATGTTTAGATCCTTGCCTGCTTTTGCTCCTAATATGGTGTCTTTTGTATGTGTATTTGTATCTTGTGTTTTATTCTGTAGATGTTTTGGAACAAACAAAACTTCTTCGCTAATATTATTTAAGTATTTAAAGAGAGAATTTTTTGTATCAATTGAGCTGTTTGAAAAAACAGACCATTGACCATTTTGTATTGTTACATTTTTATTCTTTTGGTTGGCTATTGTTGGAATCACTAAATTTAACACTGACGTAATGTTTTGAGAAAGGCTTTGTGCACCAGCGTTTGTGTCTTTTTCAACATTCATTGAAGTCACAATACAAGATGGATAAATACTATTTGTAGAACAGTTAAACGTTTTTGTTGAGTTAAAATTACAACACTGATGAAATTTTGTAGTTTCTGTAGTTAAAATTTTGACTGGTTCTGTTGTTGTCAATGTTGTTGCTGCTGTTGTTGTTGTTGCTGCTGCTGTTGTTGTTGTTGCTGCTGTTGTTGTTGTTGCTGCTGTTGTTGTTGTTGCTGCTGTTGTTGTTGTTCTTGTTGTTGTTGATTCTGTGGTCTTAATTTTTGACGTTGTTGATGGTTCTATCGTTGGAAGGACAATACTTAATAAAATAGGAGGCGTTGTTTCTAATGTTGCAATTGAACTGTTACTTTTAAACAGCTCAGATTTATTTAAATGTTGTATTTCAGGGTTAGATTCTGTGGTGTTTGCCGTTATGTTGCTTCGAAGTAATAGTTCTTCATTGTGCAATGATTCATTAGTCTTTCTAAATGCGCTAAGACGAAACGTTGGAGACAGAGTAACATGTCGCTTTTGTGCATTTGAAAATGTGTTATGAATATTTTGTTTTAAAAGTATATTTTTTTGATTTCCGTTCTTTAAGTAGTGTTTCTGGTGATTAACATGTTTGGTGTGGTGGTGATGGTGATGATGATTATGGGGATGATTTCGTCGATGGGTATGATAATCTTTGTGGTGAGAGTGCTGTGAATCTAAAAAAAAGAGAATAAGCATATTAAGAATAGACTTTGGTTTTTTTTAAGAAATGATCCTCTTTATATACGTCATTACATACAAGATTATAAAAAGTTGTTAAATTAAAAAAAAAAAATTAAAGCTTAACCTTCTTGTAAAGTAAATCCTATCACACTCAGAAAACCAAGTATTAAAATAGTTTTCATGTTTAATTATTATTTACCATTTTTGAAAGTGTTTTTAAAACTGCGCATTAAAAAAGAAGTTACGCATGATTGAAAGTATGTCGAATGTATATCTAAAGTATGTCGAATGTATTTTTAACTTAGCGCCTATTTTATTTGAACTTAGGGTCGTCTACAACATAATCGTTTTGCGCAATGCTCAAAATACTTAGGGGGCCCTAAAATTTTATTGTAGGAGGCCTGAGCCAAATATAAAAAATATTTTTTCATTTTTAGGAATGCAAAATTTGTTACTACATATTAATCATTCTTTAAATCAACCTACACCGTTATATTTTTTAATGTAGTTATTACATATAAAAATCCAAATACATTTCAATGCTTTTTCACAGGGATGAAATTACGAAATTTTTTTAATTAAAATCAAATAAAAAACGATTTCCGAAAATTTCAAGTTTTTCTTGTTAGGTTGAAAGTTGAAATTTGTTGATTGTATCTTTACTATGCCTTAAATTTTCTGATTTATTTCTGGGTAACTTAATCGAACCTCGCTCACATCCGCACTGAAATTGATGTTAACACGCTATAATGAGACTTGCACAGCTGAACTATACATTATTAGATAACTTATTCCTTCAGCTACAAAACATGAAAAATTATTTAGATTTTATGAGAGTAGTTGGCAGTACCATTATAAATTGTATAGTGTGTCAAAAGCACTGATTCTCGTCCACTTGAACTCAATCTCGTCATATTGATTTAAAGTCGCCCACTGTGTAAATTAAAAAAGAACATATACTTGTCTAAGACGACGTTGTATACTGGTGAGTGAGATTAAATCTCATTAGTTAATTTCTATGCTCAATTGCACCATTTTAATTAGAAAAGTATAAAACCATGGGGTCTTTGTGAATGCAAATTTTCTCCCTAGATCCTTACTTGAATCTGTATTCTGAGATCAATCTCAACTGTAATTGTAAAATGTGTAAATAAAGTATAACAACAACACATCAATGCTTACGAGCCGTAGTGATATGACAAATATTGTCTTCTTTTTGCCCCGGTCATGAATTTTTATATTGAGCAGCCGTGATTAGAGCATGGTACTCATTGTATAAGAGTTGCGAGTTCGAATCCTGCTCGAAATACTGATAGATTATTGGTAAAGTTCAAAATGGGGAGCCAACTCATTAAATGGGCTCTTGTGGCGGTGCTTTTTACTATTACGTCGTATCACAAATAAGACCATTAGAGTATTCTTAAATAAAAAGAATAAAAAAGTTTATATAGATAAGACAAAGTTGTATGCATTTTTAGTTATATAAAAAAATATTGTCAAATATTTATTACATATTAGTCAGTATTGTTCTCGGGATCAACCAATGGTTGCAATTCAGATGATAAACTTCTTTTTTGTTGTTGCCATAGACTTGTTGGCCTGATTTTCTAATTTTTTTTTTTTAGCCAATACCTTTTTTTCTTCTTTATCTTTGAGTCGCTTAGCAGGATTAACAAATTGCAGTTGTTTTCTTTCGTATTTTTCTCTTTCCTGTTGGATTTTGTCTTGGTGATATTTCAGCTTTGCTGAATATGCTTCTTGAGAAGTTAAAACGAAGTATTTAAGCTGTTTGCTATCTTTTTCTGTGCGGTGGCTTTAGGGTATGCCAAGACATCATATTCATATATATTCAATAAAAGAACAAGTATTTAAATAATTTTAAAAAACTTGAATTATTTTAAAACTAAAAATTTATTAAAAGTTGCATTGTTCAAATGAAATTAAAAATAAATGTAAAATGATTGACTTGCCATGAAGAGTTTGCCAACGGAAAATATTAAACTTTAGTAGAATTAAAGTTTGATGGTTCTAAGATGGTTCACAATGCAGTCAACATTTTTTTCTTCAACTGGATTGACTAAATATGCAAGCTGATTAATACGAACAACAGTCTCTGCTTCCAAAATAGAAATGTTACTTTGTAACGAACTGTGAGTTGCGTTTTCTTCTTCAGTGCCATTTTGTAATTGTTCTAGATAATTAGCAACTTTTTTCTATAGAAGCATCAACGTCAGAAAATTTAATTTCTTGAACTATTGATGGTTGGAATTCCTAAGAAAATAATAAATAATACTATTAAAATGCAAGTTAGTAAACTTTATGCTGCATTCAGAATTTTTATCATTTTGTACATAAAATATTAGTCACAATTGCAAGCTAAAGTTTAAATAATAATTTTTATTGTTTAGTATAGCAAAAATATGATAGCACAATACTAACCAAAGAGCAATTTTTTTCAGTTATATTAACTGATATATCCTCTGCTATGTGCGGATAGTTTGGTAAATATGCATCACTAGGAATAGCCTGAGGATTAAATGGATGACTTGAACCCAGATGTAATGTTGCTAGAGGTCATTGCTTTTTCCCAAGCTGAAGCAATGGCTCTGATCTGACATGCAATTGCACTCATCAAATTTTCTTCACTCCATTTCAGGAATTTGCCCCGTTTCTTAACAGTGACTGATTGATCAATGAAATAATTGGAACCATCGATACAAAATAAAGAAACATCAATTGTTGGTAGCTGTTTCATTTGACAAATGTCAAGAGTACTACTACCAGATGTTGAAGGAGTTATACCATTATGAAGATGAGTTGTATTATAAAGTATTGTAGCCTCTGTTACAGAAACAATCTTTCCAACCAACATCCGGTGAAATCTTGGTGATGATCTACATCCCCAACCTCTTGTTTTAACCATGTTTTTCTTTCAAGACAATAGCTAGATAAATTAAATTGCAGTATGAATGTCATATTAATTTAATAAAATGCTTTAAATTTACAAGAGCTACAAATATTAACACGTGGTGAAAACCATATGTTAGTATTTGTAACCTAATCCCAACCCTAGAACTTCGCAGTACTTAATTTACAATAAATTAAATAAGCATTTAGCTAAGTAATTACAAAAGCCTATTAAAAAAGATTAAAAGCATTCTTATTATGCATAAAATGAGTTTTGGACCTTTTGAACCTAACGTTTTGAACCTAATGTTTTAGTTATTTTAATAACTAAAACATTAGTTCTTAAATTGAAAATAAATATAACAATCATAAATAAAACATGCATTATTTCTAAACACTAAAAAATTATTTCTAAAAAGATTGAGATTTTGTTTCTTTCTTTGTTCTTTATCTAGTTAATTTATTTGGTTTTGATGAGCATGAGCTTTTTATACAATTACTCAACGCAGAGCCATAGCAATTTACTTTTTAATTAATTTCCTTAATAACAATACACAGAGGAAGAGAATTGTTTTGAAGGCAATCAAAAATAAATTTCCGTGGGTATCATTAATTTTTGTCAAAGCAATTATCAAGTAAGTTTGGGGTTCATTTTTGCGATAATGCCAAGGATGTTGAATTATAAGTAATTAATTTATAAAACAATTTCCTCAATAATATATATAAAAAAAATACATAAAAAGATACTCCTTTGTAAGCAATCAAAAAGATTATGCTTTTAATATGTATCCTTACGAAATTTTATGATTTTGTTTTTCAATTATTTTTTAAATATGTCATCCCAATTTAATGAAAAAATAATGGGGGTCACGGCGAAAGGTTTTTTTTGTTAAAACTGCTGGTAGCGTAAGTCTTAATATATTATGCTGCATCTATTATCGCCCACCCGGGCGAGATTAAATGCATTGAGCGACAGTATATTTATTCTATGGGCGAGATTGAGTTAATTTGGTTGGTTGAGCAGAAAACAATTTTATGCATATTCTACCATTTCAAACGATTATAAATGTTATTACAATCAGAGATTAAACAGTAGAGAACAAAATTAAATTATAATTTAACATGCATAATAAATAATTAACTTGGTAGATTTGCATCAGCTGGTTTTAATTCGGCAAATTAAGTAGCAAAAAAATTACCAAAAACCAACAAATTTTCTTTAAGAGATACTTTTTCATTTGCGATCTTTTTAAGGTCAAAGTTATTTTGATGTTAATAAGGCTGGCTTGCTGTTATAAAAAAACGTCTTTTTGATGGTACAGCGTGTGAGTTAACTGACATGTAAGGAATTAAAGATGGTGGGCGAGATTGAGTGATGGGCAAAATTATGTAAAGTTACCCTATGTTTGTTTATTTATTTATTTTTATTATGTTTAAGTGGTATATTTCAGCTGTAATACCACTGTAATATTTATTTATGATTTTTACATTAATGATTTTTACTACCAATCAGATTTGAACAAAAATCCAAACAAATTTTTTTCACTCTTTCAGATAATTTTAAGTAGTAGACATTCCAATACTACTCAGCAAACATTTTTTAGTGGGTTTTCAATGAACCAATAGAAGTATTTTGAGAGGTCCATTGTAGTTTTGTTCATTGGTTACTTAATGGAGCAATAGTGGTAGCCGCCAAACGTGATTAGCCGTTGACTCAAAAGGTTATTGGCAGGCCACTTATAGCAAATGCCACTAATGGCTTACTAAGTAACTCCAATAAACCGCTGAAAATGTTAATATTGGTCCACTGCAAATCCACTACAAAAATGTTAGCTGGGCTATTGTAATTTTTTAATGTTTTAAACGATTACTTTATGTATTATATTATAAGCAGTCGTGGTTTAGTGGTTAGAGTTCTAGCTTCAGAACAGGAGATTAGTGCTTTAAGGCCGGTTGATGCATATATGATGCATATATGGCCAAAGTTGGCTGAACTTCCTAGTTAAATATTTTCACAAAAATAAATGTTATTCATTATATGTTTACATAAAAATATAAAATATTAGCAAATATACAAATACAATTGCAAGGAATATGAGAACTTAAAAACGTAAAACATGTAGTTGATTGTATGCGTTTTTTGCCAATTAGAATGTCAAACTTCAAGGCATCGAAATAATATTGTATACCATATGGAACTCTGCAGATAACAGCCCGATACCAGAAAAAAAAGATGCTAAAAATTCTAAGCATTCTGTAAGATTGAAATATGGAAATGAGAAGATTGGTAAGACATTTTTCTTGCTGTACTTTTCTCATATTGAAACATCTTCAACAAAATTCATCTTATCATTAAGCCCCCCCAAAAAAATGCATATTCATCAAATAAAATATTTTAACAAAATGTAAAAAATAAAATATATAACGTTTAAAATATTTAGTAATTCAAAAAGTATTTATATTTAAGAACTGATTAGTAAAATAAGATGATATATAAGTATTAATATTACAAAAAGAATTTACAATAACTTTTTTTAATAAAAATTGAAATTATAAAATTTTACAATATTTTTAGTAATTAGTATTTCAAATAATAAAACTTAAAAAATCGTTTGTAAATTCAAAACTTATAAGATAAGAAATACATTTACAATAGCAGACTATTGTTTAGAATATTAAATATAATATTAAAGAGTAATTAGTAGGTTAATTTTTGTTTTTGTTTGCTAGTTTAAAAAGCTTTTTAGAAGAACTTTAATTCATTTTCATGTATCATCAGTAATTGCTTAAGTTTTGTTTTAAACTGGTTTAAAGAATAATTAGATTTCAGCTCATTATTTAATCTAGTCTAGTCTTACAAACATTTGTTTTTAAAACTACCCAGAGTTTTTGTATCAAGGTACCTTGATGGGATACCTTGATACAAAATATGAGCATTATTAAAAAAGTAGATAAGATAATAAAACGTAAAGACAAAGCAAAATTTTACTTGAAAGACAAACAAATGCAACAAATGCATCCAATGCTCCAAATCACATTTCAGAAATCCAGATATGGCGAGTTCGTCATGTTTTACTTCAACAAAATGAATTCACATATAAATAAGTTATTTTTTCTAGTTTAACTTTTTTTTATCAATTAGGGTCTCTACTCTGTTAATGTATTGAATCAAAATAAATTCTAAAATTACTTTAGCGTAGAACTTGATTTTTTCATCATCAAGTCATGGGGCGAATTCGTCAGTACAGCTAAACTTATTGAAAAATATAATCAGTTACTCAATTTTAACACGTCTTTGTGTTGTTAAAGATCACTTTTTTACCAACATGTCAACTAAATCTTTTTCTGACGCCAACAAAATTAATGAATCTAATCTAGCATCTGACATAGTTAAAAGTTAACAATTTTTAATTTGCTAAATGTTTTTTCATCGCTTTCAACAGACACTGGTGCTGAAGCCATTAGCTGGAAAGCTTTGAAAATTCTTGGAAAAATTTTTGTTTTTGCCACGATAGTTTTAATTTTTCATTGTTTGTTGGAGCATCAGATTCAGTAAATGTGTTCATAAAAATTTCTAATTCTGCATGAAATAAATGAGCATCTATTTTTTCCCCATTTATTAGCATTAAAAGGCACAGTTTTTTAACGTCTTTTATCGTGAAGGTTTTTGTTGACTACTGGAGAAGAGAAAATGATTCACTGCTTAACCATGAAGTAAGTAAATTTTCTTTCATTTCGTTAATAAGACAGTCTAATACGCAATTAAGTTATTGGGTGTAGTACTGATAAATATTTATAGAACATGGAGTCTCAGGATTGTCATCATTGCGTTTTGGAATTGATCGTCGTCTATGATGATCTTCATATACTTTGAATGCATCGATTTCATGCTTACTACATATATTTTAATTGCGGCATCAATTTTGCGATGCACATCAAATTCATCTTTTCTAATTCGTTCAAGAGATTGTATTGTAGCCAATTTTCAATGAACCCAAGTTTAGAATTAAGTAAGTTGAATCGTTTTGTTCTTGAAGAAAAAAATATGTAGCATATTTCAAGAACATCGAAAACATTTGCAGCCATATTATTTCTTTTAACCGCATGCTCAACAAAAGTGTCAGTTTGATGAGCTTGGCATGGAATATAAGGTATAAGTTGTTTGAGCTTTTCTGAAATTTTTGCATGAACTCTTTTAAAGTTTCTAGACATAGAGCTGGCGTAATCGTATCCATGAAACATAACACTATTGACATCAAGTTGAATGTTTTTGATTATCGATATTATTAAGTTTGCAATTCCATTACCTGTTTTGTCAGTTGTCACTCGCATACCTGCAAAATTCTTTCTTTAATACTACAGTTATTATCCACGTACCTAACGTACCTAACAGCAATTGCTAACTTATCACTGTGTGACGCATCAGGAGTTTTATCTGCCATAATTGAAAACATTGATGCTTGATTAACTTCGAAAACAACTTTGCTTTGAACATCTTGTCCAAGCAAATGAATGAAATTATTTTGGGATTTAGCACTTATATATGTCACGTGATATTTTCTAAGTTTCGTGTTGCTTAACCACCGCTTAAGTACCAAACTATGTCTCGACATAAAGTAGACCAACTGTCTAAAATTTTTATTTTCATCCCGATCATCTACACGAAACGCTATTCCTTGTCAAACTAATGATCGAGCCAAATCAATTTGAACTTTTATTACTCACTTGTTAGACTCGATTTCTTCTTTTTCGCTTAAAATAACTTGTCTTTATTTTTTGTCCAATAGGAGCTTAATATGTTGAGTACTATTACAATAATTACAATAGTCAAATAATGAAGCTTTATGAGATTTTGATGAAAAATGTTTTAATAGTTTTCCTCTTTTACCTTTATTACCTCGACTCTTCATTTTATGCCACATGCGAATAGCGTTTTTAACTTAAGCAACTTCGCTATTTTCTCTACCAGGTCCGTTTTGAAAAATAAAGCATACGTAGTAGAATGCTCTATCTTTAAGTATACTGTACTCTAAGTGATGGTATTCTTTGTATCACAATGATGAAAAAACGATTTTGCTTCCTTTTGTCAATATTTTTACTGATAGGAAACTTATTAAGTTTTATTTGATGTGGTCTAAGCTCAATTAGCAATTTTGAGACGCTCGCGAAATGAAAAATTTCTTTCTTTCATGCGAACGAAAGAAATTTTTTATAGTAACAGTTTCTATACTACTATATTTTCTATTATTTAAAATGTTAGCTAGAGTTTGGCCAGTTGCGTTCAATACATTCTCTGACGTTCTTAGGATTAAAATCAATTTTAGAAAAATTTACTTTGAGAATTTATTGCTAATTAGGGAAATTTAGGAAAATCTGAGATTGTGTCCATATATATATATATATATATATATATATATATATATATATATATATATATATATATATATATATATATATATATATATATATATATATATATATATATATATATATATATATATATATATATATATATATATATATATATATATATATTCTACTATACTAAATATACTATTATACTTCTCAAACTGTATACCTTTATGATTTCGGATATGATCCGAATGATAAATTTGATAACGCGTTATCCAATAAACATTATCAAAAATTGAATGTGAACAGCTCTTGACTTTGCATTTAACTTTCTATCTTTTAACACCTGGATGTGGCATCTTAAATCCAAAATCTAAGATAATTACTAACTTTATGTAAATATACCCTATATAAAATAAGACCCTAAAAATATGACCCTAAAAATATATTTGCAAAAATTGTTTTTTTAAATTTCATTTTTAAACACATAATTGTAACTTACAAGTATAAACAGAATAGTATCTATCCGCTTTCGCCAAACTTGTAATTTTCAAATACTAGAACTGCGGTAGTGGTGTAATGTAAAACACTCGCTTCATAAGCGAGAGGTTCCGAGTTCGATCCCCACCACGTCCCTGATAGTACCGCGCTCAACTTGTTTCTCCGCGCAGTTTCCTTGTTCGCCAAGGTTCGTGTTTCGGAGTTATAGAGTTGAGAGAGGGTTATAACCACTATTAAGTAGCCTCCTCGTCTGTAGTGGCCTTCTCGGCCTTGAGGAGGTGAATAACAAAAAAAAACAAAAAAAAAAAAAAAAAAAAACTGAATTTCGGATAATAAAATGACAACACTAACTTTTTTTAGTTTCTTCTGTGAAAGCATTAAGTAAACTAGTCTATTGATTGAGATGCTTGCTTTAACGTTAGCAACCGTTGACGAAATACGTAACGCAACTTTTTGAGAGTAAAAAACCGCAACAAAAAAACACGAATTGCTTAGTTTTATTTCTTATATACAGTCGTGCATTGTACGCAGACTTTTATTCGTTATATACAGTATCGGACAAAACAATTGCAACCAAATAATGCTAATTTAGTTTCTTTATTTAAAAGTGCTTCATTTTCTTCAATTTAGAGAAATAAATATATAAATGTTTAGAGACAACGTTCTTCAAGTTTTATTCATCACAAAGTTCATTATTTGTACACGAAAATTAATAAATTAATCAAAAGTATTAAAAAAAAGTTGATTTCCTTCTGGACAAAACAAGTGCAACTCCACAAAATGTTGACCAAACTGTATTTTGCTATCAATATTTCGTGGCGAATCCTTTGTTGTTGATCATAGCCTTGCATTTTCGAGGCATAGATTTGATCACGGATTTGTTCAAACAGTTGATCCTTATTACGAACACCTTCACGATTAATTCTGCGGTTGACAATCTCCCACAGGTTCTCAATAGGGTTGAGATCCGGAAATTGAAGCGGCCAATCCATCACCGATAGGTGGTTGTCTTGAAACCACTCCTTGACTACTTTTGCAATGTGTTTCGGGTCGTTGTCTTGCTGAAAAAAAACCCCCAGACCATTACATTTACCATGCTTCGCGGTCTTATGGCAGTAACGTAAATCGAGACGTTTTACGGGCGGTCGACGTACACGACGTCATCGCTCCCAATGATGTTGAACTTCGGTTCATCACTGAACAGGACAGTTCGCTATTTCTGCACATTCCAGTCAATATGAGACGTAGCAAACAGGAGTTTTATTTTCTGGTTCTTTAGTGAAATCAGTGGTTTATTTGCAGAGTGTCGAGAAAACAATCCGGCTTCAACAGCAAGTTGTCTGATTGTTCGGTCCGATACAGGCAACTCTAATTGCTTTTGTATCTCCACTGATGATATCCAGGGATCCTTCTTGACGGATATGACGATCATAGAATCCTCTCTAGAAGGGTGGGACGCGGTCTTCCACTATTGTTATCTGTTGCCAACTTCCCCGTAGAACGATATTTGAAACATAGTCTTGATACAGTCCATTTTTTCACGCGATATTTATCACAAATACTGAAACTTGTGACATTCCACTTTTGTGACATTCACAATCCACAAATACTAAAAACTGTAACATTCCACTTACGTAATCGACAATAATTTTCTTTCTTAGTTCCAATCCAAGACTGTCAGGAGCCATTTTTGCACTTGAAGTCATAAAAATAATAAAAATAAATAATCACGCTTCTCAAGGCTTACAGTGTTACATTTACTTTGTGATGATACAATAATGCTCTGTGGAACACAACGTTTTGCTTGGGTGTTGACTGTATTAATGTAATGAAACACTTGTTGTATTTCACTTCTTGTATTGATGTTCTTCGATAAAACACTTTGATAAAACTCACTTTAATAAACTGTCTTGAGAATACTGACAGATTGACTTCCATATACTGACTGAATTACATGTCGGTTTACATGTCTCTTATATAGTAAAATGAACCTGTGTGAACCTGTCCTGGAAGATATTAGATGCTTCTTTTCAATGCTTCTGGAAGCTTCTGGATGCGTCTATATGCTTCTGAATGTTTCTAGATACTTCTGGATGCTTCTTGATGCTTCCAGATGCTTCTTCTGGAAACTTCTGGAAGCTTCTGCATGCTTCTGGAAACTTCTGAAAACTTCTGGATACTTCCTTTAATTATTAAAATACGTTGACACGGACCAGACTTAAGAAAATGAAACAAACTAAAAAAGTTGCACTTGTTTTGTTCGCTGTCCAAAATGGCACTTGTCAACCTGAGTGCAGTCACCTGTCAGCTGATTGTTCATGTCATGGCATGCTATGACTGCAGACTCCTGAACTGTTTGCTGTGGTAGTATAGTTCGTTTCGTTTTTAAGACATGTAAAATTAGGAACACTTTTTAGCATTGTTCGATGTTGGTTGCAAATGTTTTGTCCAACTCTGTACAGTTGTAAGTTGTACGCAGATTTTTATTCGTTGTACGTTTAATTCCTATAATATAATTATATATAATATAAGTTGTGGTTTTTTATCCTTTAATGACTTCATATCGAAGTTAGATCTCCTAGTGTTATATTTACATAAATCTCTTGAAAATTGACTGTAAATATTAAAAGAAATGATTTTTAGAACTGTTTATGACAAAATGGAGTACTATTCTACAGTTTTAGGCCCCCCACAAATGTTCTATCAAGTTACCCCATACATACTTATAGAAAACAATTGCTTTTTAGTATCAACTTATTTTTTAAATAGTTTCAATTGTTTAATGAAGTAAAGAGCTAATGAATTGAAATTTACAAAATAATGTTACTTACCGATAGTCATATTGAATAACATACCTTAAAACTTATTAATTTTAAAAGATAAGCCACTTTGTCATTAAAAAAAAACGCAAAATTCAACCTCTCGCAGGCCTTAAAATATCAAATGATGTAAGTAAATATATTCCTTTATCAAAATTACTTTTTTTTGTTAAAACATAGCTCTAGTAGTAGCTGTTTTGCCATATAAAAGTGGTTGTCACAACTTTTAGGATCTCCATAACTACAATATTTCATGGTGTCCCTTGTATTATGGCGCCCCACTCTTTCCTAATAAATAGCTATTTTGCAAAAATTCTCAAAAACTAATTTTACAATGTTTGTTGTATTTTTTAGATATTTTATAAAGGAAGACGTTAAATAAAGCGTTAGGCGTTTTAAAATGAATTGTACTTCTCGAAAACTTTAGAGTAAAATCGAGTAAAATGAAATAGAATGAAGAATGAAATCGAGTAAAATGAAATAGAATGAAGAATGAAATCGAGAATAGAATGAAATAGAATGAAGAATGAAATCGAGAATAGAATGAAATAGAATGAAGAATGAAATCGAGAATAGAATGAAATCGAGAATAAAATGAAATCGAGAATAGAATGAAATCGAGAATAGAATAAAATATGCCAAAATTATTGTTTTGCTTCTACTTATTTATTGAACATTTTGCGAATAGTTTTTGATATAAAGTTTTAATACAAAGTAAATAACTTTTATCAATGAATGGTCCAATTTTCGGTTGCATTATGATTTTTTTTTAAATTGGGCGTAAAACTCTCGAAAGTGAGAGTAGCTGACATTGAACTTAAAACGTATCCATGTATAACTTAAAACGTATCCATGTATAACTTTTTATGCCAGTTAAGAATCTGTTTTCATAAATAAATGCTTTTTCCGGTAAATAGATATGAGTTAAAAATGGCATATTTCATTCAAACCCATAGTTATGATAACTATGGAGTTGAATGAAATTCGCCATTTATTTGCTTGGCAAA